AGAATTTGCTGCCAACTTTTCTTACTGGTGCCTTTTACACAATTAAAAACTTGCATAAACATTTCCCTTGCTACTGAAAAATAGGACAATGCACAAATAGGTTAACAGACATGAAAATATAATCTCAGACAATGCAAAATGTAAATGATTGAAGTTGTCATGGTGATACAGTAATAATAGTAAATTAATGAAGAAAGCAATTATGTTGATTGACACTGGTGTAAATTTGTGTTATGCTTAATGAGATGGTTTGTTTCCCAGAAAGAAATTGCAAGTAGTGTTTATTATCACTTTTATGTACATTGGGGAATTCACTATTAAAACATTAGTTGCACACAGAGGAATAAAAAAAATTCAGATGAAATTAAATTGTTTTATATTAATGTTTTTGTTTCTTGTTGATCATATGCTATGTTAACTCTTTAAAAGTTCCAATTAGCAGACCTCTTATAAAACAAACAAAAAAACAAAACAAAATACATTTCTTCTCCCATCTATCAGTATTGGCTTCCAACTTGTCTACTCAGGACAAACCCGTCATACCTTATGCTGTTCAAAGCTCTCTTGAAACGTCATCATCCTTGTTTATCTCTCTGCTTCTTCTGAGGACATTTTTCAACTTACTTTATCTCTCCATTGGCTAACCTAGCCATTACATTATTGTGTTTCTTCCAACTGGATGTCATTCTAACTCTCTTACCATTCCTGTTTCTTTAATAATCTATCAATTTGCCTATTCCTTTGTTTCATGGGGCAATCACAATATTCTCTTCTCTCCATCTATACTGCCACTATAGCTGACATTATCGCACAATGCTCTAATACACATATTCTTTCCAGATAATGCCCAGATTATTTTTTTAATCCACTTTATAACAAAATAACTAAATTAGGGTTTTATTCAAAAGGGAAAGAGTTTCCCATACCCCTTCCTTATCAGTATTTTCGTTATTTCATTTTGGTTATGCTTATTATGCATTATAAATAACTCCCAGGTCGCATGCAGCCAACCTTCCCAATTATGTTTTAATGAGTCTGACAATTTCTACACTTTATAAAAATTTAGGACCTCAGTTCTCTTCATTCTTTGTATTTTTCCAGTTTTTCATTCCAGTATATCCATCACCACGGCATGAACTTGTTCATTTCCAATTGTCAATAATAAGCTAGTCTCATTCTACCCAATTATAATTATCCCGTGTTCAGATCAGGATTAGGGCCAGGAAAGTAATCCTTCTGTTGACATCATCAGATGGAACTCCTTCTAAAACTATTTCTAGAGTTTGTATTAATATTCAGATTAAGTATGGAATTAAGGTGAGACATATGATTGCTGAGAGTATTGGTTAGGATTAGGCAGAGGTTTATGGTTTGGTTTAGGAGTAGGGATAGGGATATGATAAGATTATTACTTTGTAGAGGTATACATATGTGATATTGTTGTATCTAGGAAATCTTGATGAGTACTGTTAAAATACTTTTATTAAAGTGGCACACATGAGGTTTAAAAAAAATAAGCAGCAAAAATAGAACGTGTATGTAAAAATTAAAATCAAATATAATACCACAAGCTTTGAAAAAAAGGGTACCTCAATTAAGCTCAAATATATCATGTTGCCACATTTGTAAATGAACCAGACAAACAAACCTCCGGAGGGATGTGTTAATACAAAGGTGCTTTTAGTGAAAAATTTAGTAAAACCAGCAGCTCTATAAACATGTGTGGAATACCCTCCTATCCACACATCTCCATAAACACAAAAAGTCTTTAAGTGATAAAAGTAAAAAAAAAACAACAACTTTAAGTGATACAAGTAAAAACCTATACGCTTAGTGGAGCACTGTGGTAAATATTAAAGTTGTAGCTTACCCCACATGATCTAGATAAGATCTTGTACATCAAATACATAAAAGATAAAATGAGACAAGTAAAATATAGTGCAGATGGTAATAACATGTGAGTATTTGATCTTAAATATTGGGTCATTCATTATGCAAATTATGATCTTAGGGCAGCTTCACACCACTCCTCCACTCCAGCAAAGATAAAAGAGAAAGAGGCATCCAATGTGTAGTATATGTGATAACACTATTACAATATTAAATAGGTATTAAGCTTCTCTTTAACAGAGCCTGGCTCAGAGGGTAACAGATATAGTGCTAATATAGGGGGGATGGTACCACCCCAATGAACATTCTCCAGATCCAATGCACTTGTAAATTGCTACTAATATTTATTGTACAAATAAGTATTAAAACATGTGAAATAAACACTAAATAAACAAATAAAGGACACACTTGTACAAAGAAAAGTTCCAAAATTAGCTCAGCTGTGATCTGATCCTATGATTTTCCCATATTTAAATTTTGTCTGGACCCTACCTTTGGGTCACATGTGAAGTCTTATTAACCAATTGTAGTCTCTTCAAGCCTCCCACTCTTTTCCTGTAATATATCCACCGGTCTGTATGGAATACTTTTGGATGGCGTTATTTCTGCATTTTTTTTGTATAAATTTTCATTGGTGGTCAGTGGTGGTTGGCAGGATATGTATGGGTTTGATCATAGTGACATATAGAACATAATTCCTAACGACGTAATATGTATATAAAAAAAGCAACAACAAAAAATCCACACACTTTGACATAAATTCATGAAAATATGAAAGCACATTAAGGCATAATATATACTATGTAAGATACCCCAAAGTGTCTACTTTCACAAATGAACTGATCTAATGTCCAAAATTAAGACATTCCAGTCAGCCTTAACAGCAGAGCTGCACGAACAATTTTAGTGTGAGTATGCAGATCTATAGAGGGTGTAAAACTTATTGCTGCCCCAGCTCATCCAGTGTCTGTGCGTGAGACAGGACAGAAAGAGGAAGAGATCACTCCCCATTTGCCCACTAGTAACATCTTACACAAGAAATGACTTGCAGGAGGAGCAGGGACAGCATTAAGTCATGAACACTGTTTAACAACTACTGCAGCTCTAATATCATCAATTGGACTGGTCTACAGAAGACATAGGAGAATGAGTACTTTGCAAATAACTCTTCAAACCACAGCACTCAAATCCTTAACATAAAAACACACCCTTTACCTTAACCTCTTAAGAACGGCGGGTGTGCCATCCTTGGGAACACGGCTCTAAGCGCCGGTGGGCGGCATAGCACGTCCACCCCGTCCTATGCACTTATCTACTCGCTGGCGATCGCTATGGGGGGGACTTACATGGCTTCCCAAGGAGTCCCCCTACTGCCAATGCAGCCTTCCTGGGCCATGTGATAGCGAGGTCCACAATCACATGGACGGAATAGCCGTCCATAGCAGTGCCAGCAGAGGGAGTGCCTGGAATGACAGGAAACAGAGTTTAAAATAAAATAATATATACTTAGATCATATACACACATATATATATATATATATATATATATATATATATATATATATATATATAGTTGAGTGCCAGAGGTTGGATACTTTATTTATAATAGTGTGCTAGCAACACACTCTCTGTGCACCACCACATTGGATTATTTACTTATTTATTTTTTGTGATTTATTCCTCGACCTTTCTCAAGTATTTTTAGGTGGAGGATTTTTTAGCAAGGGCTGGTGCCCTTTTAGATACAGCTGAAACACTACAAATTTCAGAGGCAGAGGCTGAACATATTCTCTGGCCCAAATCTACAGATGAATTAAAGCATGTTGACTCAATTAGAGATGTATATAATGAACTTATTAAACTAAAGGAGGGAAGTTGATCTGTATCTACATTGTACATTCATTTCCGATTATTACAGATCTAACAGGATCCCATGAGGATTTAGGGTGCGCAATGCACCTACTATTGGGAGATCTAATCCTGAATTTTGTAGGAAATGGGCAAGCATAGCAAATAAGTGTGCCCTGGACTGGATGATTATTACAGTAGATGAAGTGAAGAATGAACTGGCGGTGGTGAAGGAATCCATCAATAAAGTGGAATCTACTAATACACCCTTACTCACTGCAGCATCGCCCGCACAACAAACTATTTAACTTCAGGATGAAATCATGCGGTACAGGAATGATTTGATCAAATTTAAGAAGCAGAAGCAGGAAAGGATGAATTATGATTATACACACCATCAGGTGTATCACTGGTTGAGCGGTGAGAGACGAAGACCCCTTTTTTTTATTCGACAAAAATCTAAAATAAGGAAACCGCAATTCATGTCCATTGACACTAGTTCTGCTGAATCTGCGTCAGAGGCAGAAGGTACAGAAACTGGGAGGAATACCAGAACATATGTAGGGCATGAGTCTTCACAGACTTTTTTAGGTGGGGAACAGCATTCCAACGACCCCCCCTAGAAAACCAGCATCTTTACATATAAGAAGAAACACAGACCCAGACCCCTCAGAAGGGGACAGAGAGGGAGGATATATAAAACTAAGATCCAAACCTTCAACGAGGAAGATATAAACCCAGTGTTTAATTTATCAACTAAACAGTTAACTGCAGATCATATCAGGATTTTATCTAAGGAGTTAACGTTTATACCAGTTACTGAACCTGACAAATTTTGACTGGAGGTAGAATTAAATAAGATGAATAAAACACTCTACCTCAACTTCTCTAGAGACCAATGGGGCAGAAGGAGAAAAATCCTTTTAAACTGAAGAATATATGGGAACCAAAAACGATACAGTCCTCGATTTAAAACGTTTGGACAACTACTTCAACACGATGTGGAACACACGTTAAAACAACAGAAGCGAAGTGGAGACAATCTCACTAAAGGTGAAAGAATGGCACTTAAAGATCTGAGGGATGATGTTAATATTACTATTAGACCAGCAGACAAGGGGGGTGCCATCGTGATTCAAGATTACAAGGACTACAGGGATGAGGTATTGAACCAGTTGAGAGATGTTATCACATACAAACCGTTAACATATGATCCGACCACTGTCTTTCTTAATAAACTAAGGACATTAGTGGGACGAGGAATGGCAGCAGGATGGCTGGATGAGTACACTGGCGCCTATCTTGTGAATGAAAATCCCAAAATTCCAGTGCTATATACACTACCAAAGGTGCATAAGGATCTGAGTGGAGGGATATTAGTCTCGGCTCATGGAGGGATATTAGAACCCTTGGCTAAGTATGTGGACCACTATTGCAAATCCAGCATTGAGGATATACCCACCTGTTTGAAGGATATGCAAGATTTCCTTTCCAAAATTCACGGATTGTTTCTACCTAACTTCCCTGTGAACTTTACTACAATTGATGTAAAGAACTTGTTCACTATTATACCCCATAACGTGGGAACTGAGGCCATATGGATATGGCTGAGTGAGTGCAAGAAGCAACATGGTCCACCCATTGAATTTTTGGTGGAATGTCTAGAATTTCTTTTGAACCATAATTATTTTAGATTAGAATTTTTCTTTTTACATACAACTCAGGGGGACAGCGATGGGATCAGCCATGGCGCCAGCCTATGCTAATTGCTGTATGTATATTTACCAAAGATCGAATATCCTGGATTTATATGGTTCACAGATCATCTCGTACCACAGATTTGTGGACATTATCTTCATGATTTGGTCGGGCTTTGAAGATACACTGCTCACGATGATAGATACGTTGAACAATGATGAATCTCCTATTAGTCTCACTTTGAATCATCACGCAGACAGAATCCAATTCCTTGATGTGGAGGTGTATAAAGTCAGTAATCAGATTGGCTATTGCTTATATAAGAAACCGGCCGACCGGAACACCCTACTACACTTCATGAGCTTTCAGCCCCCGGCTTTAAAAAAATCTTTACCGATTTCCCTGTTTATCAGGGTGATGAGGAACAATTCAGACGGAGCTGTACGAGACTTAGTAATTGAGAATATGAGTCGAGCCTTTCTGGATAGGAGCTATCGAAAACACATTTTGAAGAAAGCTTTAGATCGGGCCTATGAGATCTTTGAAAAAGGGACAATTCGCACGTGACAACATTACTAAAAGTATTAACAAACATTGCGTGATCTTATCCACGGATATTATATTGAGTACGATTTTTTTTCTAATCCTTCCAGGGTGGCCTATGTCAGAAATAGTAACCTGAAAGATTGTTAATGAGGACGAATTTACCACGTGAAAAGTTGGTCCAATATCAGAGAGGAAGGGATGTTTCCGATGTCCAGGATGTGTGACTTGTGGGCACATGCTAACAGGATCGTCTTTTGTGCACCCACACTCCGGTATACTTAATTTCTTGTCCATGTGATTTGTTCTATGTGGGCAAGACGGACTTGACACTCAGGGACAGGATCAGAGGCCATAGATCGGCTATTACCACAGCGTTCAGAGACAGGAAGACTGACAAACTGGTGGCAAAGCATTTTTTCTTCGGCTGAATCACAGGTTGCCAACACTTAAGTTCATTGCGATTGATAGGATACCGGTCCTACCCAGGGGTGGTGATCGTTCAAGGTTGCTATTGCAAAGAGAAACGTTTTGGATTAAGCAATTGGACACTATACAACCAAAAGGTCTCAATGAGTATATTTCATTTAGTTCATTCCTGGATATATGTTAAATTTATCCAGGTCTAGCCTATATATATTTTTCAGGAGTAGATATGCACTCTGTATTGAGTAGATATGCTTTTATTTAACTGCCGGTTGCTTATCAGCATGGATGTAAGGTTTAGTATTTATATGTGTATCCAGTAGTTTTATTTCTGCTTATATCTAGTTAGGATTTACTGTGTAGCTTGATCAGGGATGGATATTATTATGCTTATGGGTGCTGGATGAGGGATTTATTTTATTTTGATATTGTGATGCATTTGTTTTATTGTTGTAACTGGCTAATATTTACGTGTTTGTTGTATTTCTTTTTAGAGGGTCTCATTACTGGTTTGGGGTTATTTTCATACACTTTCATTTGTACATTTTAGCTTTTACACTTTTTTGGGTTACTTATTTTACACACTGCATGTTGACGTTTGTACACTTTTGAATAGAACAGTACAATTCACAGAGGGTCCGGTACTTTCACTTTAATACACTCAGCATAGGGTTTTTTATTACATCTTGCATTTTAGGTCTTGGATTTTCACATTTCATTTCACACTAGCTTTCTCCTGGATGCTCTCCATATATGACCAGTTTTTTTTTATCAAGGTGCTTACCAGATTCATCCAGCTATCCTTAGGTTAATATTCTTTTATTCCTCCATACACACATTTATTACAGAGGTGTATCCATGGTTACGGTTGTTTACACACGCTAGCGTTCTGGGTCACGTTATTACGTCAACACGCACGGATTCACGTCCCCACGCATGTGCATGGGCACCAACACGGAAGCACAGATGGACTGGGTATCACACAGATGGACTGGGTATCACACAGATGGGGTAAGTTATTCACTTATTATTATGGTACATATTTGTATTTTTTGACACTATCATTATCTTGATAAAGACCCTGAAGGGCCGAAACATCGATGTAGAGCTGGTGATTTCTCAATAACACCTTTTGAAAACCAAGGAAGTGCTCCTGTCTTCATTTTCAATTGTACTATTGCTGGGAGGCACCCAGGTTCGGTGGCTGGTTATTACTGCGTAAAGGTTGAGTGCCAGAGATTGGATACTTTTTTATATATATATATATATATATATACACACATACACTGTCTAAGTCTCATATAAATTAATATCAAAATACTCGTAGAATGATATTAATTAACTATATATATATATATATATATATATATATATAAAATAATATACAAAATACATTAATGAAAAAAATATGTGTAATTTCGTAATAACTGTACTTTGATATTAATATATATTGATATCAAAATACACTTAGAACAAATTAATATATAGCTAAATGCATGAATATATATGTATATATCAATAAATATATATATATATATTTATATAATATAAGAATTTAAAAAATTGTGTGTGTGTGTGTGTATATATACAGTTGCAAGAAAAAGTATGTGAACCCTTTTGGAATTATATGGATTTCTACACAAATTGGTCATAAAATGTGATCTGATCATCATCTAAGTCACAACAATAGACAATCAGAGTCTGCTTAACCTAATAACACACAAAGAATGAAATGTTGACATGTTTTTATTGAACACACCATGTAAACATGCACAGTGCAGGTGGAAAAGTATGTGAACCCCTAGACTAATGACATCTCCAAGAGCTAATTGGAGTGAGTTGTCAGCCAACTGGAGTCCAATCAATGAGATGAGATTGGAGGTGTTGGTTACAGCTGCCCTGCCCTATAAAAAACACACACCAGTTCTGGGTTTGCTTTTCACAAGAAGCATTGCCTGATGTGAATGATGCCTCGCACAAAAGAGCTCTCAGAAGACCTACGATTAAGAATTGTTGACTTGCATAAAGCTGGAAAGGGTTATAAAAGTATCTCCAAAAGCCTTGCTGTTCATCAGTCTACAGTAAGACAAAATGGAGAAAGTTCAGCACTGCTGCTACTCTCCCTAGGAGTGGCCGTCCTGTAAAGAGCACAGCGCAGACTGCTCAATGAGCTGAAGAAGAATCCTAGAGTGTCAGCTAAAGACTTACAAAAGTCACTGGCAAATGCTAACATCCCTGTTAGCAAATCTACAATACGTAAAACGCTAAACAAGAATGGATTTCATGGGAGGATACCACAGAGGAAGCCACTGCTGTCCAAACAAAACATTGCTGCACGTTTACAGTTTGCACAAGAGCACCTGGATGTTCCACAGCAGTACTGGCAAAATATTCTGTGGACAGATGAAACCAAAGTTGAGTTGTTTGGAAGAAACACACAACACTATGTGTGGTGAAAAAAAGGCACAGCACACCAACATCAAAACCTCATCCCAACTGTGAAGTATGGTGGTGGGGGGATCATGGTTTGGGGCCATATCATTCCAAAGGGTTCACATACTTTTCTTGCAACTGTATATATTTATATATATTTTTTTTTATTCTACGTATATATTTATGTTATATATTTACATTATTAAGTCATAATATTAATTACAATTTGCGGGACCTGCCTGATAACCCCGGCAGAAAGTCCAGAGAATTTAATTTTCTATATATATATATATATATATATATATATATTATATAAAATTATATTATATATATATATATATATATATATATATATATAAAAACGTGAACTTGGCACTCACCCTTTGTAGAAAAATATCCAAATATTCATGCCTGGGTGCCCACCTCTGGCATTGATAAATATAAAAAAATATATATAAGGTGCACTCACAGGTCTTTTTAAATAAGTGATAAATTTATTCCAGCGTGCAAATTACTTATGCCACAAATTTATGATGATCAACGTTTCGACCCACAAAGGGTGTTTTTCAAGATGTATAAATAAATAAAAATAATATGAAATATACATATGTTCATATACATAATTACATAAATAATTTCATAAATATACAGGTAGACTTCAAATATATAAATATGTGTATATATATATATATATATATATATATATTTAAATTCTACGTGCATATTTATGTAATATTATTACATAATTAAGTAATTTTATTGATTGCAATTTGAGGGAGAAGCCTGAGAACCCAGGCCGAAAGTCCAGAGAATTTAATTTGTGAGCACTAGATTTAATCCTGAAGGAGACCCAATGGGTCAAAGGAATAGGAGGTCCCTTGATTAAACTCTATATATCTATATATATATATATATATATATATATATATATAATAAAACGTAACTTTTTTTTTCAATTTGACAATTTTTATTTTCATGAAGATAATGGGGTACAGAAAGAAAAGGGGGGAGCAGTTAGGGGTGTCATATTATACAACATTTGTTTCCACTTTAAGCATGTTTGATAAAGGAGCCTTAGCAGGTGTCAATTTCTGCATTACAGTCGGCATGAATTATACCGGGGGGGACACGGTTGCACCTGAGATGCGTATGGTCGGTGTTTAGTAGTGCCTGGGGTCGTGGGGGTTGTTTCTCTGTGTGCGACTCGTTGCGTCTGGGTAGTGACACAACCTCTTGAGTCGTGAGCTGATTTATGGCGGGTACACCGGTGTAGTGGAGTTCTTTGCGGTGTGGAGTTGGGGGTGCAACTGGGGGGGGGGAGAAACAGGGAGAGGGTGAAGGGGGGGTATGCCTTGGAGGTATGCAGCAGTAGCGTGCGAGCATGATACCTGGAATACATATGCACAGCTGTAGGTGTCGTCATGTGTTGCAATACGTGGTGCGACGTGACGATAGGTCTACCCTGTGGTTAGGTGTGTTGTTCTGAGGATACTGGCCCCTGTGGTAACTGTAGAAGGGGTTGGGCCTATTCAAGTAGTAGAACTTTGAGGACTAGCAACTAGGAGCTGCACTTCGTTGGTGGTACCTACACCGTCTTTGATCCCTGTAGGGCGTTAGGTAGTTAGGTAGTGTTAACCCCGTCCCAGTAGCTTGCCCATGGTGCCCAGGACTCTTGGAAAGACTTTCTTTGTGAGGCAGTTTTGGTCGTCATGTTTTCGTATGTGTGGTATTGGTGGATTTTGGTTAGCAGGTGAGTTTTAGAAGGACAGTGAGGTTGCTTCCACTGGTTTGCTATGAGGTTTCGTACTGCCAATGCGGTAATTGCCATTATGCATTTCACTGCTTTCGGGGTTGAGTGCGGGTAGGAGAGGAATAACCCAGTACGGGCGTCTAGCGGTGGCTCTGTGATGCCGATGGTTCGTAGGATGGATTGCGCCTCGTCCCACAAGGGGCGTATACATTGGCACGACCACCAGATGTGGAACATTGTGCCCGTTGTCTCCCCGCATCTCCAGCAGAGTGGTGATGCAGAGCTGTACATTATGTGGAGCCTGTGGGGCGTTAGGTACCACCTGTATACTAGTTTCTTGTGGGCCTCTACATGTGAGTAGCACTGTGTAATACCTTTGAGGGCAGTTGGGGACGCCTCCACTTCCTTGTCAGTTATCGGCTCATTGCAGTCCGCGAGCCATTGGGTCACGAAGGGAGGGGAGTAGTGTGGAGCCGTTTTCATAGCTACCTGGTAGCATAGGGCGAGAGTTTTGGGTTTAGTTGGGGTGTGCCAGCATCTGTCATACAGTGTGTCTACTACCTTTGTGCTCTGGTTAATCTCTGTGGTGGTTCTTGCCACGTGTGAGGGTATGATGCTCTTGATTTGCATGTAAGGGAATACTGAGGAGTTGGTCAATTTGAATTCCTGTTGTAGTTCTGGGAAAGGCTTGATGAGGTTGTGGTGCATGATCTGGTCGAGTTTGTGAATTCCCAGTTTGACCCAGGAGTTTAGTGAGAGCCACGGTGAAATTGCTCGTAGGGCTGTCAGCGGTGTGCGTGGGTGGAATTTGTGGGTGGTGTTTTGCGAGTGCCTTAGCACGTCCCAGTGGTGTAGGGTGAGTGATGTGGTTGGGAACAGAAGGTTGTCTTTGGGGCGTAGCGTTTTGGGGGTCCATAAGATGTCTACTAGGGGCATCTTGTCGGATTTCGCTGCTTCCATGTCTACCCACTGGTATGTGCCTTTGGGGGTGTGTAATTTCACTGCAGTTTCTAGGTTGGCTGCTTTATAATACGTATAAATATCTGGGAGGCCCACACCCCCCTCTGCTGTGCGCTGCTGCAGTAAGCGATGGAATAGTCTGGGTTTGCGTGAGTCCCATATGTATGCGGACAGGGTCCGTTGGAGCTGTTTAAAGAAGGCGGGTGGGGCTTGTATATGTAGGAGGCGAAACACGTACAATAGTTTTGGCAGGAGAGTCATTTTAATAGTGTTGATTCTGCCTAACCATGACAGTTTGACCGGCTTCCACTTGAGGCATTCCGCTTTGCACAAGCGGAGTAGTGGTTTGTAGTTGTAGTGGAACATACGTTCCGATGTGGGCGCTATCTTGACCCCTAAATAAGTGATGTGGTCGGCTCTCCAGTCGAACTTATAGGTTCGCGTAAGGTCCTGGACTTGGGTGTGTGTAAGGCCTATGGGCAGAGCCTGTGTCTTGGATTGGTTCAGTTTATAGTATGCTACTTTACCGTAAGTATGTAGGAGTTGCATCAAGGTCGGGAGGGACGTGTTGACTTCCCTTAATGTTAGAAGGATGTCGTCAGCGAACATTGATAGCTTGTATTCGCTGGGACCTACTGGTATGCCTTTAATGTTTGGATGGTGTCTAATGATATACGCCAACGGCTCCAGGGAGAGGACGAATGAGCATCCTTGTCTGGTGCCGTTAGAGATGTTGAATGGTGTGGACAGAAAGCCCGCATTCGCAACTTGTGCTGTTGGGTTGTTGTAGAGAGCCATGATACCTGAGATTATGTGTGGTGTAAAGCCAAATGCCTGAAGGACGTATTGCATGTAGTCCCAGTTGAGCCTGTCGAAGGCCTTCTCTGCGTCTAGTGCTAAGAGAAGACCTTCTGTGTGGTCAGTGTGGGCTTGTGTGAGGATGTTTAAAATCTTTCGGGTATTGTCCGAACCTTGTCTAGTTTTAACGAATCCGGATTGGTCATTATGTGTCAGTTTTGGGAGGATGTCAGATATTCGGTTTGCTAGGAGCTTAGCATAGAGCTTCACGTCTCCATTAAGCAAGGATATAGGTCTGAAGTTATGGCATTGCGTAGGGGGTTTGCCTGGTTTTGGAAGAGTAGAGATGTGAGCTTTTAGCATCTCAGGGGGCAGTGAACCCTTCTCATAGGATTGGTTGAATAGCGCCGTTAAATGGGGGGACAGGATGGGTGCAAAAGTTTGGTAGTACATATTGGTATAACCATCTGGGCCTGGCGCTTTGTGTTTGGGCAGTTGTTTTATGTTTTTTTCTATTTCTAGTGTGGTGAATGGTGCTGTTAAAGAGGTTATGTTGTCGGGTGTCAGTTTGGGGAGATTCGCTTTCGCTAAAAAGTTTTGGATGAGGGCTGGCGGGGGCGGTGTTACTTCTGGGTCTTCTTTAAGGTTGTAAAGCGTGCCGTAATAGGAGGCAAATGCATCTGCTATATCTTGTGGGTTTGTGAGCTTTTGGTTCGAGGGTGTGTTGATAAAAGCTATTCTCGTGTTGGCGGAGCGCGCCTGGAGTTGTGCCGCCAGTAGTGCACCTGCTTTGTTTCCCTGGGTGAAGAAATTGTGTTTGAAACGTCGAAGTATGTATGTTGTCTTTTTGAGTTCAAGGTCTCTGAGTTTAGTTTGCAGCGAGAGAAGGCGGTGTTGGAGGGTTTGTGTGGGGTTGGTTTTGTTTTTGTGCGTGAGATCTGTTATCTCTGAAATCAGTGTGGTATAGTCTTTGAGCCTTTGCTTCTTAGCGTAGCTACCTGCTCTAATAAAGAGGCCACGTATGACCGCTTTGTGCGCTAGCCATGTCATTGATATGTCGGTTTCCGGTATTGTGTTTGTGTGAAAGTATGATGTCAAGTCTGCTCTAATTTGGTCCACTACGTTTGGATCTAATAGTAGGGAGTCATTGAGTCTCCAAGTTCCCTTGCCCACCGTGGGAAATTGTTCCGCTAGGAGCAAGGTTATTGGAGCATGATCAGACCAGGTAATTAGGCCAATGTTGGCAGATAGTACTTTTTGCATCATTGAGGTAGGTAGGAGGAATCTGTCAATTCTGGTGTAGGTGTTGTGGACCGGGGAGTGGAAGGTGTAGTCCCGCTCCAATGGGTGGAGGATTCTCCACGGGTCTAGGAAGTTATTGTGTAAGATCTGGTTGCAATGTCGTGAGGTGGATCTGTATTGTTTGCGGGCCGATGCTCCGGTTAGTTTGTGGGCTGAGGTGGAGTCAAGAGTGCAGTCTAAAAGGAAATTGGTATCCCCGCCTATAATTAGTTCCCCGAATTTATGTAGGGTGGTTAAGGCGAACAAGCTATCTAGAAATTCTGTTTGGTTGGTGTGGGGGCCGTATATGTTGAGAAGTGTGTATGGCTCATTATTGATATAGCATTGTACTAACAGGTATCTTCCCTGTTTATCCCCGATTTTTTTTACCAGTGAAAACGCAACTTGTCGTCCTATCAGGATGGATACCCCTCTTTTTTTCTTTTTGTAACAAGAGTGGTAGTCATGGGGGAATAGTTTGGAGCTGAATTTGGGTCGGGCGCCCCATTTGAAGTGGGTCTCCTGATAGAACGCTATGTGGGCTTTGTGTTTTTTCGCCTCCTCTAGCGCTAGTCTACGTTTGTGGGGGGTGTTTAGGCCCTTAACATTTAGGGACAATATGGTGAGCGTCATTATTTGGGTAGTATTTTGGAGCTGGACGGACGGTGAGATGGGACCAAATGCCCCATATGGTGCCTAGTTTGGTGGTGTTGTAGGAGTACAGTAGCGGGGTATCGTGGGATGTTCCCAGCCTTACTGCGTCGTGCGTTGTGCGGGGGCCGGTCAGAGAGGTTGGGGTCTTGTGTGTATGAATAACAGTGATGGTTACCTCGATATCGTTATTGTCATGGGGAGGACCGGCCAATATGCCAGCGTGGTTTAGTCGCCTGGTAGGCCATCGTGCGTTTGCGAGTGTGGTTGCATACCTTGGTTGTTGTGCTAGCTGCTTAGCAGGGTTGGGGGGGGGGGAAAGAATGCATATACGTACCATGATCTGGTACAGTAGAGCAGGAGAAACTATATACAGGGTTCCGTCATGGGTAGTGCCGTGTGGCATGGACGGTAATAACAAGGCTCACTTGAGCCCAGGGGGTACAGTGGATGGTCAGGTGTTTGACCCTCAGTGTTTCGTGGGGTCCCATCAATTGGGAGTTGACCCGTGGTTGCCTGGGGACATTGTTTCCCTACATGCCCTCTTTAGGCTGGTCTATGTGCCTTTGGGTAAAATTTAGGTAGGGCACGCACGGTGCCCGTGGGTTTGCATTAGTAGGTGATAATTCTATTGTGTTTTTTATTTTTATTTTTTTTATTTATTTTTTTTATTTTTTTTTTTAAATACTCTTTGCTACCCCATTGTGCATCGCTGCAATGGCCGGGCCCTCTCCGGTGTGGCCCCACCATTGCCGCAAGGCCTAGTCTGGCACATTGTGGGCTATGTAGTGAAAGTTTAAAATAAACAAGTTAGATAAAACATTATGTAAAAATTAGTAGATATGGATGTAAAGGTTTTGAAGGGAAGAAACAGTCAGTAGTGTTCATTGGCGGGGGTGCCTGGCCGGTATGCCCTGGAGTGTAGGGTGTAGGCAATAAGGGTGTGGAGAGGTCACTTAGCTGAAGTTGCCACATTCAAGTCGGTCTGGACTCTTCTCGGAGGTCCCCGACGTGTCTCTTGGGTGACTCGGTCAGGTGGTTGCGGGAGGGAGATATCCCACTCTTTCAGGAGTCTTATGCCTTCTTCGCTGTTTGTGACGTGTCGGTCTGTGCCATTCCGCCGAACAATTAGGCGGGCTGGGAAGCCCCATCTGTATAGAATATTGGCCTCTCTCAGGGCTCTTGTGATGGGAGTAAGCTCCCTCCGTTTCGACAGCGTGGAGGCGGAGAGATCCGTGAACAGGTGGACACCTTTAAATTTTTCCGGCAAATCGAGGGTGCGCCTGGAGGCTCTCATGATCTTCTCTTTGGTGGTGTAATAGTGCAGTTTTGTGATGGTGTCTCTTGGGGCTGACGCAGGGAGGAATCTTGGCTTTGGTAAGCGGTGTATGCGGGCTATGAGGAAGTCCTGTTGTGAGAGGTCGGGGACCAGATGTTGGAAGAAACACATGGCATACGCCTGGAGGTCTTGGGGCAATATTTCTTCTGAGACGCCACGGAGGCGGATGTTGCTGCGCCTGTCCCTGTCTTCGTGGTCCGCCACTTTAGCAGTAAGTTGTTCCAGACGTTCTCTCAGGTCAGTATAAGCGTCTGCCACGGTGTTGTGGGCCGATATGAGTTCCTCAGTCTTGTCTTCAAGATGGGTTGTTCTCTCCCCTAGTGCCTGGATATCTGTTCTGATGTCCCGCACTATTTTGGAGAAGTCAGCTTGTAGTGAAGCCTGCATTGCTTTCAGCATTTTGTGTATGGAAAGATCAGTGGCTGGGGCTGCTGAGGGCTCAGAGACCGATGTGAGGTCACTGTGATCCGAGTAGGCCGCCGGTGATCTCGGCGCGTCTGCGCCATCTTGGGCCTGCTTTTGCGGCGGTGTGAGTGCCCAGACCTGCAGTAAGGTCTGTTTGTGCCTGATTTTTTTTGCTGACCTGGATGCCATGTCCTGTAGTGGGGTCAGTGCTGCGTTTCGAAGCTGTGTTGGGACGAGCAGTGCTATTTTAATCGCTGTGGAGGGTCAGTGCACGGAGGAGCTAGTAGCCCATGCGTCCGGCTCGTTACACTCTGTTCTTTTTTTTTTTTTAAAACGTAACTTTTAATAATTTCTATAAGAAAATACTCATGCTAATAGAAAAGAAACAAGAAAAATAGGTTAGATAGGTTAAGGAAAAAGATTACCTAAATGGGATATATAACCTAAAAATATAATCTCTTAAATAAATCCAATAAAAATCTTGGAAGAGAAGAGGGTCCCAATATGGTACTCGTACCGTGGCTTTAAATAATTGCCTTGTATTCGTTGATTCCACATTCCCTTGGATTAGCACATACTAGACACTATCTGGAGACACGTGGGTCTAGACACCAACGACACAATTCTTTTGTGTTAGATCTATTACAATTTGTGTTAACCCACAATTTCTTCCTATTTAATGGCCAGTACTACCACCAGTTGCAGGGTACAACTATGGGTACATCTTGTGCCCTATCGTATGCCAACCTACACTTGGGGTGGTGGGAGGAAAATGTGTTTTTTTTCTGACACAAATGCTGAATATACAAAGTATGTCTTTTTGTGGAAAAGATATATAGATGATGTCCTCGTTGTCTGGACAGGTACAAGGGACTCTTTCACGGCCTTTGTGGAGAGATTGAACTTCAACGATTTTAACTTGAGGTTCACAATGGAAATTGGGGGTTCTTCTCTTAACTTCCTGGACCTTTAGAATCAACACTGAATTAAGCATTGAGACTACACTCTTCGGGAAACCCACCTCAACTAATACTATGTTGAGATGGGAAAGCTACCATCCGATAACATTGAAGAG